AATGGAAGTTGAAGCCCTGCGGGGGGGTTTTGAGGCTACAGACTGGGATGCACTATGCCAGCCACATGGAGAGAACATCATTGACATGACTGAGTGTGTGACCAACTACATAAACTTCTGTATAAACGCCATCCCCACCAGAACAGTGAGATGCTTCCCCAATAACAAACCCTGGATTACCACTGTAGTGAACTTGACCTGATGTCAAAACTGACCAGATGGACAGAAACTGTCATTTCATTGATTTGAATCCAGAAATACAGTTTGACCCATCCTGAGACTTTCTTTCTTGAATTAATCAAGTGGAAAAAGACAATTCTCTATGATCATTACTATTTTACAAATGTTTTGATAATCAAATTGTGTTAGTTCAAACAATGTTTACATGTTGAAGTGAACTACTCATTTTTATTTACTTAAACAGTAGTAATGATTTTTAATTCTCAATTCAAAGAGAAATCAAGTTAGAATACGTTACAGAGTAATGATTCAATTTCTTGATCGTCTGCTTGAAGTGAGCAGAGTTTGTAAGTGTGTGTCAAAGTTCAGGTTTCGGTCAACTAAAAGTTTACTGAAAAGAAATGTCATGTTTAACTTTTACAGCAAGATACTTGGTGGAGCGACGCCACGAAGTCTGGTTTTTCCATGATATCTTTCTGTCTGTTCTTAAACAATCCTTGACTTTCCATAACCCCTTACATCACAAAACACACCTCTGTTGGGGTCCATCGACCAATCAGAGGCTCTCAAACGAACCGGAAGTAGAGCCCATTTAAATGTGGCACTTCCCAGTTCAAAAGGAGAGTTCAGAGTTTTTGGAATCCAGAGTGCAGAGAGTTTGGGAGTTCCTGAATGCAAACGCAGGCATTCATGGATGCTGCTAAACCAAACAAGCTGAACCAGAGACGATTTTGGGAATTATAACTTCTGTTTGGATAACCTCGCACGACTCTCGAGGTATTTGGCTGTTCTCACGGAGACGCTGAACAGTGGTTGGAAGTGAGACTCCACGCCGGAACTGATCTATCTTCAGAAAAGGTAAAAGTCGACCTTCACCAAAAGTGTACTGTTGGGACAAGCTGATTTCCAAAAGAGCGTGCTGTTCTGGTTAAAACAGACAAATTCCCTCACACATCTCTCTGTAAGATAAATCTCAATTTTCCATCTTTAAACTCTCCTTTCTGCTAGAAAATTAATCCAGATGTTTTCATTAATGTCTGTGGTGAAGCAACGGAAAATCATGGCCGTATGGTTTTCCTGGTTGTAAAGCTGATTAATTATGTTGTTGTTTTCATATTCTGCCAAATTAATGTAAATGTGTGATGTGTTAAACTTGATTCTGTTAATAAATGACCCACTCGCTTGGTGAGTCAAAGATAATTAACGTCTCACGTCCACATTTCTGTTAAATTCAAAGCACGACATCATCCAGTCCAGAAAGATGAGTGAACCCGTTTAATGTATGAATATATCTCAGGATATGTCATACTACACCACTGACCTGAAATAACTGCTAAACCAGAAAAAGAGCCTTCAGGGAGGGAGACAGGGAATTATTGAGGAGCACACAGAAGCAACTAAAAGTCAAGATAAGAAACAGCAAGGAGGTGTACAAGAAGAAGATGGAGAGCAAGCTCCAACAGAACAATATCAGAGAGGTGTGGTCAGGGATGAAACGGATCACAGGCTTCAAGCAGGAGGAGGATCAGAAGGATGGAAGTCTGGACAGAGCCATTGAACTGAACGCGTTCTTCAATAGGTTCAGTTCAGGAACAAGCTCAGCATCCTCCTCTCTTGCCCACAGCCAAACATACAGGTCCTTCTCAAAAAATTAGCATATTGGGATAAAGGTCATTATTTTCCATAATGTAATGATAAAAATTAAACTTTCATATATTTCAGATTCATTGCACACCAACTGAAATATTTCAGGTCTTTAATTGTTTTAATACTGATGATTGTGGCATACAGCTCATGAAAACCCAAAATGCCTGTCCCAAAAAATTAGCATATCATGAAAAAGTTCTCTAAACAAGCTATTAACCTAACCATCTGAATCAACGACGTAACTCTAAACACCTGCAAAAGATTCCTGAGGCTTTTAAAAACTCCCCGCCTTGTTCATTACTCAAAACCGCAATCATGGGTAAGACTGCCGACCTGACTGCTGTCAAGAAGGCCATCATTGACACCCTCAAGCAAGAGGGTAAGACGGAAAGAAATTGCTGAACGAATAGGCTGTTCCCAGAGTGCTATATCAAGGCACCTCCGTGGGAAGTCTGTGGGAAGGGAAAAATGTGGCAGAAAACGCTGCACAACGAGAAGAGGTGACCGGACCCTGAGGAGGATTGTGGAGAAGGGCCGATTCCAGAGCCACCGTGCACAGGCGTGTGCAGGAAATGGGCTACAGGTGCCGCATTCCCCCAGGTAAAGCCACTTTTGAACCAGAAACAGCGGTAGAAGCACCTGACCTGTGCTACAGAGAAGCAGCACTGGACTGTTGCTCAGTGGTCCAAAGTACTTTTTTCGGATGAAAGCAAATTTTGCATGTCATTCGGAAATCAAGGTGCCAGAGTCTGGAGGAAGACTGGGGAGAAGGAAATGCCAAAATGCCAGAAGTCCAGTGTGACGCACCCACAGTCAGTGATGGTCTGGGGTGTCATGTCATCTGCTGGTGTTGGTCCACTGTGTTTTATCAAGGGCAGGGTCAATGCAGCAGCTATCAGGAGATTTTGGAGCACTTCATGCTTCCATCTGCTGAAAAGCTTTATGGAGATGAAGATTTCATTTTTCAGCACGACCTGGCACCTGCTCACAGTGCCAAAACCACTGGTAAATGGTTTACTGACCATGGTATTACTGTGCTCAATTGGCCTGCCAACTCTCCTGACCTGAACCCCATAGAGAACCTGTGGGATATTGTGAAGAGAAAGTTGAGAGACGCAAGACCCAACACTCTGGATGAGCTTAAGGCTGCTATCGAAGCATCCTGGGCATCCATAACACCTCAGCAGTGCCACAGGCTGATTGCCTCCATGCCACGCCGCATTGAAGCAGTCATTCATGCAAAAGGATTCCCGACCAAGTATTGAGTGCATAACTGAACATGATTATTTCAAGGTTGGCGTTTTTTATATTAAAAACACTTGTCTTTCATTGGTGGGATGAAATATGCTAATTTTTTGGGACAGGCATTTTGGGTTTTCATGAGCTGTATACCATAATCATCAGTATTAAAACAATTAAAGACCTGAAATATTTCAGTTGATGTGCAATGAATCTGAAATATATGAAAGTTTCATTTTTATCATTACATTATGGAAAATAATGACCTTTATCACAATATGCTAATTTTTTTAGAAGGACCTGTACATACCACCTCCACTGACTCAAGGCTGTCCTGTCACACCTCAAATATTTCATCTACCACATGGGTCATGGACCCTTCTTCTTCTACATATTGGTTTTCAACCAAATCAGAAGATGCTGATACCTCCTTTGCCTCCCCCCTCTGCATCTCCAGAAGTCAGGTGAGGAAGCAGCTGGAAAGACTGAACCGGAATAAGGCTGCAAGTCCAAATGGTGTCAGTCCCAGAGTCCTGGATGGTCTGTGCAGAGCAGCTCTGTGGGGTTCTGCAGCACCTCTTCAACCTTAGCCTGACCCAGGAAAAGTTTCCAGTGTTGTGGAAAACCTCCTGCCTTGTTCCAGTGCCAAACTCACTCAACAGTCCTCAATGACTATAGACATGTTGCCCTGACATCCCACATCATGAAGGTCCTAGAGAGACTTCTGTTGACCCACCTGACTAGACAAACAAGCACATATCAGGACCCACTGCAGTTTGCTTATCAGCCCGGATTTTGAGTTCAAGATGCCATCATTCACCTGCTTCAGCAAACTCACTGTCATCTAGAAAAGGCAGACAGCACTGTGAGAGTCATGTTCTTTGATTTCTCCAGTGCATTTAACACAATCCAGCCTGATCTGCTTTGTCAGAAACTTCAGAAGACTCAGGTGGAGGCCTGAACAATCACCTGGATCAAAGACTACCTGACAAACAGACCACAGTTTGTGAGACTGAAGGGTTGTGTGTCTGACCAGGTGGTCAGTAGCTCAGGAGAACCACAGGGGACTGTACTCTCACCATTCCTTTTCACTCTGTACACCTCAGATTTCCAGTACAAAACAGACTCCTGTCATGTGCAGAAATATTCAGATGACTCTGCAGTGGTCGGGTGTATCAGAGATGGACAAGAAGCTGAGTACAGGGAACTGGTGGACCGCTTTGTGGCATGGTGTGGAAACAATCATCTCATCTTGAACCTGAACTAAACAAAGGAGATGATTGTAGATTTCAGGAGAATCAGGAACAGGTCCAACCCTATTTCCATCATGGGAGAAGAAGTGGAGGTGGTGGAGAAGTATAAATACCTTGGGGTTCACCTGGACAACAGAGTGGACTGGAGATGCAACAGTGAAGCGTCTACAAGAAGGGACAGAGCAGACTGTACTTCTTGAGGAAGCTGAAGTCCTTCAACGTTTGCAGCAAGATGCTGCATATCTTCTATAAGTCTGTTGTAGAGAGCGCTATCTCTTCTGCCATCATCTGCTGGGGGAGCAGCACCAGAGCAAGTGACTTAAAAAAGATCAACAAGCTCATAAAGAAGGCTGGCTCAGTTCTGGGGACTCCTCTAGAACCTTTGGAGATGATTGTACAAAGAAGGATTCTTCATAAAATGAAGAACATTATAGACAACCCTCAGCATCCTCTTCATCAGACTGTCATACAACAACAGAGGCTTCTTCAGATCTGCTGTAGGACAGACGCTACAAGAGATCCTTCCTGCCCACAGCATCAGCATCTAGAACAACTCTTTAATGAAACCAGGATGATGAGTTACAACATTTAATTTACCTCTGGGATTAATAAAGTATTTTTGAATTTGAATTGAATATGGGCCATCTGGGCCCAGTTCTGGTCATGCCAGTCAGAACTCACCATCTGCAGAGACAAACTGTCCCACGGTGGAAGACACGCCTCCACTTCCCTCAACAAACTGGACCTCTGACACGATGATGTTGTCCTCCAGAACCGAACCACAGCCCGTACACACGGCGCTGCCCCGGGCCTGGTCCACATCGATGTCGGACCCCCCACAGGTCTGGCACACTCGGGAGCTCATGGTGGGGGTCAAAGGTCGACACCTGTGGGATAAGATCAGAGTTTAAACTGTTAAATTCTGTTGGTTCTGGTTCTGACCTGCTGAGGATCAAACTTTAGTAAAGTTTACTTTGTAAGTTGTAAAATTAGTAACATTGGTAAAATTCAAACTGTGGAGCACGAAACATCAACAAAAGGCTGTAACGGGTCCGGATCAGAGCCAGCTGGAGGAACTTTTAGTGGCTAAAGCTGCTTCTCCATTGGACTCTAAGCCGGGTCACTCTGGACCAGGTTGCTGTGGGCCGGGTCGGCCCAGCGGGCTATGGGATCATGGTCTGGAGGATCAGGTCTCTGTTAGGTTTAAAGGAGGTAACATGGAGGATTAAAAACCTTCAGATTATTTTACTAACTTTGACTAAAGTCCGTCTGAAGGTGGACAGGCAGCTCAAACAGGACTGGTGTGGTTCTGGTTCCTGTTAAAGACGGCAGCGTTCTGGTTCTGATCCAGCAAATGGGTCTGGAGGAGTCTTAGAGGAAAGACTGTTTGAATACTCGAAGAACTCTTAAAAACTCTAAGACTCCTGACCACGGACGAATGAGAACCCAGACTTTCAACACACCCAGGGGTCTGGTGTCTTGCTGTGGTTCAGGATCAGACGGTTCTGACCGAACCAGTCTTTATGGACCTTTAGACCGTTAACCAGAGGCAGCAGAGTGGCGGAGACGTCAGCGTAGCAATAAAATGTCCACATTTTGGATCTACTTAATTTGACTTTAATGAATGGTTATGTGGCGCAACTGGTAGAGCTGCTGCCTCTCAGCGAGCAGGTCCCTGGTTCAAACCCCGGTCCAGGGGCCTTTCTGGGTGGAGTTTGCATGTTCTCTCCGTGCATGCGTGGGTTTTCTCCGGGTGCTTCATTTTCTTTCCACAGACCAAAAACATGCAAGTTAGGCTGATTGGTAACTCTGAATTATCCCTAGGTGAGAGTGAGAGAGTGAATGGTTGTTTGTCTCGTTTGTCTCTATGTGTCCCTGTGATGGACTGGAGACCCGTCCAGGGTGTACCCTGCCCCTCGCACAGTGATTGCTGGACATGGGCACCGGCGACCCCCGTGACCCAAAATGGAAGAAACGGGTAAAGATAATGGATGGATGGATGGATGGATGGATGGATGGATGGTTATGTACCACAGAGCTTTAAGGTTGCTGTAATTAAACCGTTACTTAAGAAGTCTGACCTTGATTCAGAAATTCTGGCCAACTATAGACCTATATCTAATCTAACTTTCATCTCAAAAATTCTATAGAAAATAGTTGCAGGTCAGTTGTGTGAACATCTACAAAGAAATAATCTGTTTGAAGAGTTTCAGTCAGGGTCACGAAGTCTCATTCAAGAGAAACCTGTACCTGAGACCTGATTTGGATTGAGTTCACTAATGTTTTCTAAAGTAATAATAAATGATTGTCTTTGCCTTGAATGAGCTCGTTTGGTGGGTCTGGTTTGATACAAGGGATGAAATTTATTTAATGGTTAACTCTTTGGAAAATTATATGAGAGCTTGGGTTATATTTGGCTATTTTTTTTTTTTGCAAAACCTGGATTGAATAACAGTAGGGGGAAGATTAAAACTACACCATATTTTATATTTCTGAAACTAATACTCAGACTGGGTGTTAGTAAATTATAGCCGGTAATACTTCGGATTTGAAACAGAAAGCTGTTTCAAAAAGGGGGAAGGTGAAGGCTGCTCTTAACAGGAAACAGTTCATACAATGATTAGATCATTACAAAATATACAAAAATAACTTCTTAGGGTTTTATATTTAAATGAACAACAAAAAGCCAGTAGTAAGTCTGAGGCGTTTAAAGGATCATTTAGGATAACCACATTGACATTTGAAAAGTGGAATAAATCAGAAGCCTACAAAACGACATTGCACTTGTAAATATCGGTTTAACAAAAGTATTTTTCTCTTTCTTTGTTGTAATGTGTACAGATTCCAGAAAAGGGGGATGTCCCTAGCATCAAAACACAGACTCCTGAAGTGGATTTGAGCAAAGGTTAAGGAGAAATGTGGTGGTTCGGTATTTTTAAACACAACTGACTTGACTTGACTGGACTTAGATTAATTGGGCTAATAAAAGGTTTCATGAACAAAGTATTTTAACCACATGTTTTACTGCTGAGGAACAGGCTCAATGGTTATGAATTTTATGAATTTCTTCCTTGCTTCCCTCTCTCGCATAGACAGGTACCTGGGGGGAAGATTAAATTCCTCTTGTTTCTACAGTGTTATATGTCAGTTGTTTAAAAACTTTTAAGGTTATATTGTATTTTGATGTTGTCGGCGCATGCGTTTAATGAAGTTCCTTCCACAGGCTCCAGGAGGAAGGAGGCCAGCATAGGAAATTACTTATTGCAGGGCATTATTGTGTATTGTTGTTGTGTTATTATGTTTAACTTTGCTTATTGTAGGTAGATCCGTTGACTGCAAAGGCTTGAAAGGGTGGAGGACGGTACTAGAGTACACAGGTATCCCTGGAGAAGTCCAGTATGTACCTCATTTCAGTTTCAAGTGTATAGATGAATGTAAGAATAGCATTTTATTTCAGTTTTACGAGTACTGTTTTATTATAACCATTACAGTGGAAGAGTACACACTAGCAGTAACAATAAGGACCATCAGGGTGTCCAATAATTAAGAAACAGGTTGTACTCACTAGGAAGTAACCACAGTCAGTTTTTTCCAGGCCCACAAATGGGTCATGGATCCCACAGATAAAATAATCAAAAGGCCATACAGGGTGTTTAACAATTCGCAAGCTTTGGTGTCCAGCTTTTCTCATCAGGAGGGAGAATCTCTGACCGAGGAGACTGACTACGGACCACCACACCGGACTGGGTCCTGCTAAAAAGAGGGATAGGACCCCACCAGGTGTTGGAGAGAACATCACACGCTATCGGTCTCCAGAAGGAGAGTGACATCTGTTACGACCACAACCAGTGCACCCCTGAAGAGGAGCTGAATCGATCGCTGGACCAGATTGAGGCTGATCTGCTGGAACATCAGGAGTACAGCTCCCCACTATACCTGGAGGAGGTGACAGGACCTTCGTGGGAGCTCACTCTTTGCCCCTTTGTCCTGGTAGGAAAAAGGCAGTAGCAAACATTGGAGAAGTCTCCGCTCTGCCTAAGTCGGTCAGTCAGGTGGAACGGAGAAGGAAGGAAGATTCCCAGCCCTGACCGTGAAGAACAGAAGACGCGTCAAACTGATTTTAGTTTTGTCCCAATGCACACACGTCATTTAGAATGTCTAATCAGACTGATAAAGGTTCTGAGGACTTTGCATGAAGACATCTCCGCGGGCCGAATCCCGCCGAGCACCAAAAGGACCCTTGTGGACGAACAAGGCCTCCCACCGCAAGCTCAAGAACCGAAGACCTGCTAGATAGTCCTGTTTAAATTGAGTGTTTTGTCTTTTCCTGTTTAACATGAGTGTCTTGTCTTTTCTTTCAGTCATTCTGAGGAACAATCAGGGCTTTTAGAAGGGTCGTGGATTCAATTGGAAACTCTTAACTATTCAAAATTTTACTCTATTCAATTGGGCATTTAATCATTCTAAAATCCCACGAGGTATTTTTAAAGGTGGTTTAAAAAGAGGTCAATTTTGGTATTAGGGTGGAGTTTTACTTATTTTAGTGTGTTGGGTATTTATCTAGGAGTGTTATAGTGTTTTTTGTATTTTTATAAAAGTTTATTCGTTTGGTATTTTTTACAGATTTTGAAGGGTTTTAACCATGGGTCTGGTCCAGGACCCCTGGAGGGTTGCAGTAAGTTTGGGTGGGGTGGCAGTGTTACTCACTTCTATCTGTAAACATCCAAAAGGGTGTGATCTCCCATGAATATGGGGAGATCAAAAGAGGGATTGTTGGATTTCATATTTTTATACCTTTTTATATTTCCTATCAAGCATTCAAATGTCATGTTATACAAAGTGGGTGCGTATCTTTCTTCAAGAGTTGAACTATATTTATAGAAAATGTTTACTTTTTAAACTATTTTACCTTTAAATATAATCTCACATTGGCTAAGGATAATTTTACAAGTTCACATTTGATATATTACAAGCAATCAAAACAAGCCAGGGAGCAGGTAAGATATTGACTACTCAGGAGAGAAGAGTCTTCCTTCTGTTAACTGAACAAACATTTGTATGATAGATTACAGGTAGACTAACTAAAACCCTCAGGTCCTTCCGTTAATAAGAATTAACGTTTAGTCGTTTTAATCAATGTTTGACACAGGTTTTAATCTTCACTCTTTAAGGAAAACACTTCATGTGGGTTGACTATAAAAGGCCACAGCTGTAGGAGGGGGCAGGGTGGCTTCAACTGAACTGAAACACAATTATAATAAGATTGATCAATCTAGAACACATAAACATGAGTTAGTTAATAATTAATAGTTATTAATTATTCCTAGAAAGAAACAATTTTAACACAAATCATTTGGTATCAACAAGGTATAATCAAGTTAAACTGAAACAAACAGAACCAAACAAAGAACCGATTTCAGTGAGCCATAAAACTTCTTATCTATGGAATGTGGACATTAATGTCCTTGACAGAGCAGAAGAGCACCGTATCCATAACAACCTAGGGTCTAAACCAATCAGAAAGCTAGCCTTCTCAAACTTTGATAAAAGCCAGAAATAACACAAGCCCAGCGAGCATTGCTTGGGAGAACTCATCTGATCAGGTTGGTTCGGTAAATGCTCCTGTATGCATACATCGTTATTTTTGATTATATGTTCTCTGAATACTTGTAACCCTTTGTCAAATAAATCTTTTGAACTAAGGTGACCGTCTCAGCTGTCTTGAACACGATTGTGGTACAAGCCACAACAAGATGAAGGTTGGTCCACGGTCCGAACGCAGCACACGGGCGCGTTCAGAGCCCTTTCGAGGAAGCCTCGCCTTGGGTCACGCGGACAACAGTCCCGCGACATGACGGCGGTTGAGGCGGTGGACTGGATGACATCCGTACAAAACATGTTGCATCACTTAAACGCACGTCCACTCCACGAACGTTATGCGGAGTGACTAAAAACATGCTCGCCAGACAGATGGATGGCCAGGGTGTTATGGAAAGGTTACATGTTACAATTTGCAACCCGACCCCCTCTGTTCGGAAGAATTTTAGAGACGGTCCTGTCATCACCAGACCAAATCTCATCCCTAAATCAATCAATCAACCTTTATTTATACAGGTAAATCCCATTGAGCCTCGAGGACTCATTTACAAGAGAGACCTGATTTCAACAAAGAAAGATGACAACGATGGACAACA